GGGGGGGGGAAGTACAGCTATCCCTGTAACAGACCATGGAGGCCTGTAAGTTGTGAGGTGCCAATGCTCCCATATTTTCTAGGCAGTTGGTTCACAGATGGCAGGCAGTGATTTTGTCAACCTTATGAACTGGCCACCCTTTACCCCCAGGAAGGTTCCTGGTACTCATTTCTGTTAGAGACTGAGTTGACCCCAGGGCCATAGTGCAGCTGGAAGGATTAGATCAATTGATTATTGCAATTACTTCATCAAGATGACCTTCCAGTTTGCTGCATAGTGCCTCATCCATCTACACTAATGCCTGTCCCCACACAATTGCAAGGATAGCAACTAACTCCATGGAACTGAGTCCTTCTTGAAAAGCTAACAGTCACTCAGCTGCTCAAGAATTTCCTAACATTTTTTGGACCTGAATGTTCATTACCATGTTCATGAGAGCCCACCACAAGTCCCTGCCCTGAGCTGTATGAATCCAGTTAATTACACCCTATCCTGTTTCTCTAAGATCCATTTTAATATTATCCTTCCACTTAAATCTAGGTTTTCCCAGTGGTCTCTTTTATTGTGACTTTCTGACCAGAATCCTGTATTTACTCATGTCGCATGCATGCTACATGCTCTGCACATCTCATCTTCCTTCACTTGATCATTCTAATGATATTTGGCAAGGATACAAGTTATGAAACTCCTGGGTGATAAGTACAATAATCAGAACTTCTATGAGAAGTGCTCTAATTTTCATTACCACTAACACAAAAAGATAAAATAAAGGGAAATAACAGAACCAAAAGGCCAAGACAATTTAGAATAAAGTAACAGTAGTGTTATGGTACATATTATTCAAGAGGAAGTAACAGAGAGAGATTGGATCATTCCTCTTCACAATCTTCTGCTGTTTAGATATGTGTGCATATCCTCATACCAATAATTTCATTTACAGACCCTCCATTTGGGGCACAGGAAACATTACGTGCTTGGCAAAAGAAGAATCACCCATGGCTTGAGCTATCTGATGTTCACAAAGAGACAACAGAGAATGTTCGTGTTACAGTGATTCCATTCTACATGGGTTGCCGGGAATCACAGGCCACATCTGTATTCTGGGTTTGTGTCTTTATCTACACAACGTGGTTGTAATTCTTTGTATTCAGTTTGTGTAATTTGTCAGCATTGTTCTCCAAAAACCCAAAGATAAAAGCAAAATAATCACTCCTGTTATGAATATGCCATGATTTATAACATATGAGGTACGATCAAATAAAATCTGGATTGACTGTGAGATGACACTACTACTAGCATGAACTTTGCTGGAGAAATACAATGTGGAAATTATTTTACTGCATCTTGTATGTAAGTACTTTTGATTTTTATTTCAAGTTTAAAATGTTCCAAATATATATGTTCTGATGTAGAATATTTAAGAACATTATGATTAGTGTACAAGAGTTGCAGTGTTCTGCGTGAATTAGCTTAGATCAGTGTTTCATTGAGTGCATGTGCATGTGTGCGTTGCGTGTCTGTTAGCATGCACACACATATACATCCACTTTTTGATGAATTATACTATATATTATTCATTAAGACCACAGTCATTAGGTAAGTCTTAATTCGCAGCCATCTCAGCATCGTGGTTTTGACTTGCCATGCTTAGGTTTAGGCATTGAAAATTCCCTCCTGCCTAAAAGGGATCGTTATAAATAAAGATTGTATTTGACTTATAAATTACAGATTATATGTAGTGAAATGAATTACTTGTAAAATGTGGTTTAGTAAGATTTAATGAACCATTTTAATGTGTTCTCTGTATACTTAAAGGTGAGAATGTGCAAAAGTAATTCAGACAATGATGGGATGTTGCTTTCTGCATTTGTAATGTTGACAGTGGCGCTACTGCATCCGACTAGAAAACTTGGGGGACCTGACAGTGCAGTTGAGGGAGAGACACTGGAGAATATTCAGTCTTTCTGGAACATTAGAAACTGTGCGAGGTCGTGGGGTAGTCGGCCAAGAGCCTGTCCTGTCTAGCAGTTTACCTGCTTTCCAGTACAGTAGTCATGTCAGCTTGCAAGCTCCCAGTGGACATATGTGGTAAGATATATGAGGGACTTACCCTTAATCAAAACCAAGTGAGAATGACACTATTTCTGCCAGAATGTGTTCGTATTCAGGTGTTTCCTCTTTCACTGCTCAATTTTTGTTAGATCAGAATACCATCACTATGTAAATAAATGTGGAAAAGATCTTAATTGAAATGTATTGTTTTCAGACATTATTATATTCACCTTCAGGTTGAAAACACTATGTACAGGGCAAAATGTGAAGAATCTAAATCTAATGAATGAAATGAAATCTAAAACATCAGTATTAAAGATGAACAGCGACACACACACACAGGGAGCCTGCACAGAATAATACATGAACGGTGCTGAAAACAAGAAATAGCTACTGCAGCACATGTAGGCAAGAGCAAGTGTCCCGTATTTAAAACTTTAAATTTTAAATATTAAACTGTAATTCTAAAATCAAATTGACAAGCATGTGTTGGCGAGATTTTAAAACAAAATTGACAGGCTGATGTTTTAGATTTTGGACTGTGTACAGTGTGACAGCTACATAGTGAAAAATACATCTGATGATGGCCAATTACGGCCGAAACATGTAGTGTAGAGGAAGAAAAGACAAAGATCTACAACCAAATAAATTGTTGCATTCATGATGGCATTTGTATTATTACATATAGTAGAATATGATCTTTGACCAGCTGTGCATAATTTCAGTACACTAACTAACTAAATAAATTACATTTTGCTAATGGATTATAAACTTGCATTACCTAAGTGTAATTTTATGAACACAAGATCTGTAGGGTTGGAAATCTATGCAGTAGAAAAATAGGTTTTATTTACACTTGTGCACATGCGCACACACATTTCCAGTACAGTAGAAGATATTTATTGTCTACAATAATACAAACGTTTTGTGCAGGGGTACATTTCGTATGGAACGAGAGGATGGCTACACATTTGATTGTCGGATCCCACCTTTCTCCCTGGAGAGTAAAAGTGAAGATCCTGGAGCTACAGCAGGGGTTATTTGAGTCAGCTTGTAGTGCCAATGACTCAGAAGAAATGATGTAAAATATGTATATTTATTACTTTTTTATATGGTATAATCTGAGCTAAAATTTTTAAAAATAAATTCCATTTCATATTCCTTATGTATTTTAAATTATTCATCTTCACAAAATCCAAAGATCTGTACAGTAATTCAGTCAGAGCTGATGCTAATAATAAAGATGAATGTCTGTCATTGGTTGTATCCTGTTGTGTGTTCCAGATATATATATATAGGAATTGGGTTAACCATCGCATTGCACTGGTATGGATTCATATAGGTAGTTCAATAACTATACTGTCACGTATTGGGTGTATAACG